CGAAATCACCAGAGTAACAGCATATATGGTATTACTATGGTAGTTTTTTTGTTTTATTAGTCAATATTTTTTATAGAATTCTGTCAAAAAATAAAAATCAAGATTTGACAAATGTTGATAACTGCTCTATGTAGACTTTATGGGTCCTCATAAATCAACAGTTGTGTTCAAGGAAGAAGTACTAAATCCGCTTTGTGTACAGACGCTAATATGAATAGATCTGGACCCTTATGTGTGAGAGTTCAGTATGGTATCATATCAGGTATTTTTGAGGCAGCATTGTAATAGCATAATTAGTTTCTTTCTAGTTTTTTATTTACTTTTGATATATTTATCTTGCTCTAATTTAGCCAAGATCATATAAAGCTGTTAATTCACACCGAGTCAACGGTAGCACAAAAATATTATCTTTTTTACAGGTCAAATATAGCACCGAAAAGGGTTAACTATGTGCATCTCTCTATAAATATTTATTATAACTTTCAATAGGTTTAGTTTCATTTTAAATATATCGAATGATATGTATATATATATATATATATATATATATATATATATATATATATATATATATATATATATATATATATATATATATATATATATATATATATATATATATATATATATATATATATATATATATATATATATATATGTATATATATATATATATATATATATATATATATATATATATATATATATATATATATATATATATATATATATATATATATATATATATATATATATATATATATATACATATATACATATAAATGTTGCCGACCTGATGCCGACCTCAAAAAGATTGAGGTCGGTGTGTGTGTGTGTGTGTGTATATGTTACCCTCTTTTTGCAGAGATTTGTTCGTATTTTATCAGTTATGGATAAGTCTCTATCATAAAGTAATCTATTAATGAGGTCACAAGTTTTAATAAATTTGAATTTAGACCGTTTTTGTATATTATTTATTCGACCGTTAATGTTATCAAAATACTTTTTAGTATTAAAATATTTTTTTTACAAACTTAGGCTTAATTAAAAATAATTTCTTTTCATGTATTTTTTTTTTCTCTATTAAATTTTTCTTTCTCGATAATGTGGGTCTTTCACATTTGAGGCCTATTCCTTAATCTTCAAATTGATAGTTTGAATATTTTTCTAAAAATGTAAAGTGTCGCCCACCGTTTACTTTTGGTTGAACTTTGTATTATTATTTATTTTTAATATTTTCTTCTAAAAAGTGTATTTCATTATATTCTTTTAAAAATCCCATAAGCGAGTAACTTTTCAATTTTAAGTTTATTAAGTTAAAAACTTCATCCGTTTCTAAATTAGGTAAAAGTTTTTCTTCCCAATAATTGTTAGATGCTTCATAAAGTTGATCTCTCAAAGATTCAAGGTTTTTAGTTTTAGTTTTAAACTTTTTCAAATCTTCAGGTAGATCAATAAGAACTTCTTCATAACCAATATTATCCTTCCAAATTAACTAAAGAAATTTCTTCCGTTGGAGCAACTTTAAACAGCTGTTGTGATTTTTTAATCAACCCATTAGAAAGAAATTCAATCTTTTATGTACTATAAATAATAATAAAAGAGCTTCAATTTTAAACAGTAGCTATGATATCTTATTTAATTCTAACCGGGGTTTAGTAACAAGACACAAGCATAGAGAATATCGAGTCTGGTTACTGATTACTACATGACATCATTTTAAGTAGAGATACAGACTTGACAGCTCGACTAGTTGCAAATTTAGGACGTGCAACAGTTCTAAAACTAACAGTAAGAATACAAGGTCAAGAAAGACAATCATTAATAGATTGTAAAGATTACTGGTCAAAAAGAAACTTACCTCTCACTCAGCGGTCTATATCCGACAAATTGATGACCCAAAATTATACCCTGGAAATTTTTACTATTGATCAAGTACTGGCTCAACAACGTGACCTAACGCTGCAATATTTACTGCTTTTATGAACGGGCCAGCCCTTACAATATTTTCCCATGGATAATCTATGAAAAAACCCATGGAAAAAACGTAGAATTTCCATGGGTATTTGGAATATGTTTTAATGGAAAAAACATGGATTTTCCATGGAAAACCCATGGTATTTCCATGGCAAGCCCTTGAGTTTTTCATGAAAAAATCCACAACTTTTTCATTGAAAAGTGTTTTAAATACCCATGAAAAATCCATGTTTTTCCATCCATGGAAAAATCATTGAACTTTCATGCGTATTTGGCACAACACAACTGCGAATACTATTGACTTCTTATAAATTATGGGATTGCTTTCACGTAATAAAAACAATTAAAAAAATAAAAATAAAATCTTGTTGAATCCTGGAAATATTTGAAAAATGATAGCTATAATGTATCTAAATTATAAAAACTTGACTTTACATCAATATTTAACGCATGCCTATGTACACTGAGGCATATTCGTTTAGACGCATCAATTTTTTTCTCTTTATCTTGATTTTTTTCTATGAATTGTCAACTGATATGCATGCAAATTATTATCAAAATAATTGTTGTGTTGTGGGCTAATAAAAATCAGTAACAGTTTTAAATTGGTGTCCGGCTGCTTTAGCTTTATAAACTTTTCTTGCTAGCATTCCTCACACGTTCTCAATTAGATTTAAGTCTGGGCTACAAGTTGAACATTCGAGAACCGGGATGTTGTGGTCTTTAAACCATTTCATAGAATGCCTAGATGTGTGAATTGCAGCATTATCTTGCTGAAATATGGCATTATCGTCCATGTTTTCATCCATATAAGTTATGAGAACATTATCCAACATTTTTGTATACTTTATCAAGTTCATTTTAGGTAAACCACAACACAGAGTCAATTTTCCTGAATAAGAAAATCCACCCCAAACCATTAAACTTCCTCCACCATAATTTCGTTTTGTTTGTGGGTCATGTATTTCTCTTAGATTATGCCAATAATAACTGTAGGAGTCCGGACCATCTAAATTGAACTTTTTTTCATCTGAAAATATTACGTTTTGCCACTCATGAGTCCAATGCATATGGTTTTTAGCACACTGTAATCTAGCAATTTTATGGTGTTTTTTTAACATTGGTTTTTGGTGTGGTTTTTTTGGTGTGGTTTTTTGTGTGGTTTTTTTTGTGGTTTTTGGTGTGGTTTTTGGTGTGGTTTTTTTGGTGTGGTTTTTTTGGTGTGGTTTTTGGTGTGGTTTTTGGTGTGGTTTTTGGTGTGGTTTTTTTAACATTGGTTTTTGGTGTGGTCTTCCACTTTACGTTTGGTGTTGTACGTAGAATATGTGCAGCATGTTTATTGGTGACAGGCAATAATAATTTATCCTTTATTTGTGTTGCATTTAATTTAATTTTTGGTTGCTTTGCAGCGAATTTGATTAACTTGCCGATTTGTTAATACTTGCCGTTTGTTGCTTTTTTTACACCGTAATTGTCACCTTTTGCAATGTGGTTTCGAACAACATGGTTAAAAAATTCTTCCAATTTTTTTTTTGCTATTTCTCGTACAGAAAGTGCTGGTGAGATTTCTGAGCCACGATATAAATTAATTTGTATTTTTTCAGCATCTGTCAAATACTTTCCTTTAGGCATTTTGTAAAATGCAATAAATATGATACAGGCAGAGCAAAAGATCAAGTTACACTAAAATTTATCAATTTATTTGTGATTAAAAGTCAATAATTACCGTTATTAACCTGATTGCGTCTATAGATATATTCCAATTAAAAAATGTACTTTTGTATACCAAACATACTCTCATGTTAATAAAGATACATAGAAAAAAATTTTTTTTGTGATTTTTATTAGCCCACAACACAACAATTATTTTGATAATAACTTGCATGCATATCAGTTGACAATTCATAGAAAAAAATTAAGATAAAGAGAAAAAAATTGATGTGTCTAAACGAATATGCCTCAGTGTATAAGCTGAAAGTAAATAAAAAAAAAAAATTACAATTAACTTATTTTTAATTTTATAAATCTTTATTTAAATTTGATTAGCATTACAAATAATTAATTGCACAATTTTATCTAGTGTTAAAAAGTTAGCTAAGAACGCAGGAAAAAAAACTAACTATTTATGTGTCGAAAAGGAAGTGGAGCTGCCAATGTTTTGTGAGAGGTAGAGGGCATACAGACACCGACAGTGTGTCCTCTACCTCTCGCCAATCTAATGATTAGTGATAGTGATAGAAGGTAGTGATTATCGGATGGTTCATGTCTGTTCGGATCTTTTTAACGATATTAATACAGGTCTTGTCTAGCAATTCTTCGATTTTAAAAAAAATATTATTACTTGTTTTAAAATCAAAGAATTACTTAAAACTCAACTACTTTAGAATTTAACTTAAAAATAGTTTTCTAAAAATCTCTAAATGACAATTTTAAAATTTGTGTTTCAAAATGTCATTTGTCATGATTTAATGCGTTTCTTATATTTGCATTTCTTATCATTAAATGCTAACCAATATTCATTAAATGGACTAAACTTATTTTGTGCATTTTATATTCTGTACGCTTAGGTTACTGGACCGAACAAGCTTTCGAATCCATTCACTAAGAATTCAATTAGTTTAGGCGAGTAAGAAAAGTTAAAGAACACAGCCCAAACTAAATTGAATTTAAAGAACACAGCCCAAACTAAATTGAAAAAAAACGCAGTTGTTGTTTACTTTTAAAGTAGTTTTCAATTTGCAGGTACCTTGTAAAAAGTATAATATTAACCTCTTATGAACAATTGTTTAGCATAAATTCTTAAAACATGATATGATGATATATGACATGCAAAATAAAAATAGTAATTTAATCACATAGACCAGAATTTTTGTTCTAAACAAACTTTTTTTTTTTTTAAACTTTTCTAGGCGTAAAGGGGATAAGTTTTTAGTTTCACCTGTTAACTGTTAGTCTGGAGAACTTAGTCTAAAAAATTTATTAAACCTTCGATTTGATGGTTCTAGTTGATCTGATTACGGTTGTCAGATTTCTTTATTTGAACTAGCATGTGAAGAAGGTACATTTGACCTATCAGTTACACACTTAGGACAACAATCAACACCAGTAAAAATATTAGGATTTAAGAGGTAAATACCCATTGCAGCAAAACCACTCAAAATGTTCTTGAAAATACAGCCTTTGATACAGCTTGCGATGTCGTAATCTTGAATGGCATATAGCTCTAATCAAGAATTTGAATAAGCAGTTTAAAAAAACATCGCGTGCAGTCAAGCCAAACGTGACAACCTCACCCATTTGTTTTGCGACAAGTAACTATGCTATGTACTTAGAAAAACGCCTGTAAATTTACCCAAAAGCGTGTAATTTTCATGAGAATTTTTTATAGATTACGTTTATAGATTACGTAATAGAAAAAAAAAAATTATAAATATGCGTTCAAAACAAAATGAAATAATTTCGTTAAGAAAATGAAAAAGTCTAAGTATTGGAAAGTCAACTTTTACATATCAAAAACACATAAAAAAACAAATAACTTTTTTTCTGGACGCAAAAAAAAGATAGAAATAACTGTTAAAATGTCTCTTTTAAATAAAGTTTCTGTTGCGCGATTTAAAAATTATAAATACTATCCAGATATATATATATATATATATATATATATATATATATATATATATATATATATATTATATATATATATATATATATATATATATATATATATATATATATATATATATATATATATATATATATATATATATTGTTATTTAGGTGCCCTAAGAAGACGGTCTTGCCGCAGAGTTCACGCCTCTTTCCTTACCGTGACGCGAAAATATGTCCGAAACTCGTTTTGATTCTCGTTTTGAATTAGTAATAAACTTTGTGATAATCCGACGTGACAACCAACCCCTAATTATTAAGTTAAATATTCCGCGCTACCTTAATATTTATTATATTGCAACACTTATTTAGAATAATTAGAATTAAAAATAAAATGTCCTAGAAATATTAATACTATTTTTAAAACAAAAATAATCTTAAACAACCCGTTTAATAAATGTTCTTCCCGCTTTTTCAGGGCAAATTATTTCCCGCTTATTTGGGGAATTTTATTCGTGTAACCAATCTATTAAGATCACAAATTATTAAGTATAATTAATTTTTAAACAATATAAAGATAAATTATGTACATTTTGATATATTTTATACATACATATTGATTAACATATTTTTCTAATTTAAATTGATAAGAATAAAAGCATTAAATCATCATCATTAGTATAAAGTAAATTATTATCTTGAGAGTTTAAAATTATATTTAACAACGACTTAAATATTCCTTAATAGTATACATTAGGGAGTATACATATATATATATATATATATATATATATATATATATATATATATATATATATATATATATATATATATATATATATATATATATATATATATATATATATATATATATATATATATATATATATATATATATATAAAACTGAATAAGATGAAACTTAATTTGTAAAAAGTCTATAGTACTTTAAAGCAAAGATTTTGTTATTGCGATTTTATATATGTGTGTATGTGTATATATATATAAATATATATATAAATATATATAAATATATATATATATATATATATATATTTAATACCGCAATAATATCATAAAAAGTGAAGCATTTTTAAATAAAAAGTGTTTTTATTTTAAAATGCGCTATTCGAATGCCAATAAAAATCAAAAATATTTATAAGAATTATAAGCGTTCTCTTTTTGAAGAAAAACGTTTTTCAATAAATTTTCATCAATAGATACGTAGTATATATATTAAAACTAAAATAATAATCAAATAATTAAACAACTCGTTTGTTTTTTTTCTAAATTATTCAAACAAATCGTAATATTATTTTTTGTTGTTTTTGTATTTGGATGGTTGATACCTAAAATTTCAGTTTGTATTTTATCAACAGAATAATAAATTTCTAAAGCTTCGTTATATTTTCCCATATCGTCCAAACAGATTGCGATATTATTTTTTGTTGACATTGTATCTGGATGGTTGATACCTAAAATTTCAGTTCGTATTTTATCAACAGAATAATGAATTTCTAAAGCTTCGTTATATTTTCCCATAGCTTTCAAACAGCTTGCGATATTATTTTTTGTTGACATTGTATCTGGATGGTTGATACCTAAAATTTCAGTTTGTATTTTATCAACAGAATAATAAATTTCTAAAGCTTCGTTATATTTTCCCATAGCGTTCAAACAGTTTGCGATATTATGTTTTGTTGACATTGTATCTGGATGGTTGATACCTAAAATTTCAGTTCGTATTTTATCAACAGAATAATAAATTTCTAAAGCTTCGTTATATTTTCCCATAGCGTACAAACAGCTTGCGATATTATTTTTTGTTGACATTGTATCTGGATGGTTGATACCTAAAATTTCAGTTCGTATTTTATCAACAGAATAATGAATTTCTAAAGCTTCGTTATATTTTCCCATAGCTTTCAAACAGCTTGCGATATTATTTTTTGTTGACATTGTATCTGGATGGTTGATACCTAAAATTTCAGTTTGTATTTTATCAACAGAATAATAAATTTCTAAAGCTTTGTTATATTTTCCCATATCGTACAAACAGTTTGCGATATTATGTTTTGTTGACATTGTATCTGGATGGTTGATACCTAAAATTTCAGTTCGTATTTTATCAACAGAATAATAAATTTCTAAAGCTTCGTTATATTTTCCCATAGCGTACAAACAGCTTGCGATATTATTTTTTGTTGACATTGTATCTGGATGGTTGATACCTAAAATTTCAGTTCGTATTTTATCAACAGAATAATGAATTTCTAAAGCTTCGTTATATTTTCCCATAGCTTTCAAACAGCTTGCGATATTATTTTTGTTGACATTGTATCTGGATGGTTGATACCTAAAATTTCAGTTTGTATTTTATCAACAGAATAATAAATTTCTAAAGCTTCGTTATATTTTCCCATAGCGTTCAAACAGTTTGCGATATTATGTTTTGTTGACATTGTATCTGGATGGTTGATACCTAAAATTTCAGTTCGTATTTTATCAACAGAATAATAAATTTCTAAAGCTTCGTTATATTTTCCCATAGCGTACAAACAGCTTGCGATATTATTTTTTGTTGACATTGTATCTGGATGGTTGATACCTAAAATTTCAGTTCGTATTTTATCAACAGAATAATGAATTTCTAAAGCTTCGTTATATTTTCCCATAGCTTTCAAACAGCTTGCGATATTATTTTTTGTTGACATTGTATCTGGATGGTTGATACCTAAAATTTCAGTTTGTATTTTATCAACAGAATAATAAATTTCTAAAGCTTTGTTATATTTTCCCATATCGTACAAACAGTTTGCAATATTATTTTTTGTTGACATTGTATCTGGATGGTTGATACCTAAAATTTCAGTTTGTATTTTATCAACAGAATAATAAATTTCTAAAGCTTCGTTATATTTTCCCATAGCGTTCAAACAGTTTGCGATATTATGTTTTGTTCTTATTGTAAATGGATGGTTGATACCTAAAATTTCAGTTCGTATTTTATCAACAGAATAATAAATTTCTAAAGCTTCGTTATATTTTCCCATAGCGTACAAACAGCTTGCGATATTATTTTTTGTTGACATTGTATCTGGATGGTTGATACCTAAAATTTCAGTTCGTATTTTATCAACAGAATAATGAATTTCTAAAGCTTCGTTATATTTTCCCATAGCTTTCAAACAGCTTGCGCTATTATTTTTTGTTGACATTGTATCTGGATGGTTGATACCTAAAATTTCAGTTTGTATTTTATCAACAGAATAATAAATTTCTAAAGCTTTGTTATATTTTCCCATATCGTACAAACAGTTTGCAATATTATTTTTTGTTGACATTGTATCTGGATGGTTGATACCTAAAATTTCAGTTCGTATTTTATCAACAGAATAATAAATTTCTAAAGCTTCGTTATATTTTCCCATAGCGTACAAACAGTTTGCAATATTATTTTTTGTTGACATTGTATCTGGATGGTTGATACCTAAAATTTCAGTTTGTATTTTATCAACAGAATAATAAATTTCTAAAGCTTCGTTATATTTTCCCATAGCGTTCAAACAGTTTGCGATATTATGTTTTGTTCTCATTGTAAATGGATGGTTGATACCTAAAATTTCAGTTCGTATTTTATCAACAGAATAATAAATTTCTAAAGCTTCGTTATATTTTCCCATATCGTCCAAACAGATTGCGATATTATTTTTTGTTGTCATTGTATTTGGATGGTTGATACCTAAAATTTCAGTTCGTATTTTATCAACAGAATAATTAATTTCTAAAGCTTCGTTATATTTTCCCATAGCGTACAAACAGTTTGCAATATTATTTTTTGTTGACATTGTATCTGGATGGTTGATACCTAAAATTTCAGTTCGTATTTTATCAACAGAATAATAAATTTCTAAAGCTTCGTTATATTTTCCCATAGCGTTCAAACAGCTTGCGATATTATGTTTTGTTCTCATTGTATATGGATGGTTGATACCTAAAATTTCAGTTCGTATTTTATCAACAGAATAATGAATTTCTAAAGCTTCGTTATATTTTCCCATAGCTTTCAAACAGCTTGCGATATTATTTTTTGTGGACATTGTATCTGGATGGTTGATACCTAAAATTTCAGTTCGTATTTTATCAACAGAATAATAAATTTCTAAAGCTTCGTTATATTTTCCCATATCGTCCAAACAGATTGCGATATTATATTTTGTTGACATTGTATCTGGATGGTTGATACCTAAAATTTCAGTTCGTATTTTATCAACAGAATAATAAATTTCTAAAGCTTCGTTATATTTTCCCATAGCGTTCAAACAGCTTGCGATATTATGTTTTGTTCTCATTGTATCTGGATGGTTGATACCTAAAATTTCAGTTCGTATTTTATCGACAGAATAATAAATTTCTAAAGCTTCGTTATATTTTCCCATATCGTACAAACAGATTGCGATATTATGTTTTGTATCAAGCGTGAATTTATTATTTTCACCATAAGTTTCTGTATTAAAACTTTGAATACGTTTTAATACTTCGATAGCTTCTTCAAACAAACCTTTACATACTAATAATTTTTTAATAGATGTCGTCATATTATGGAAGTTTTTTGAAAATTTTATTCCGTTTATGCGAAACATATAGATAAAATGGAAAACAAAATGGTTTCCGTAATCCATGTGATCGTTTACTTCATTCAATTCAAATTTAAAATAATTTTTGATTAAACTATGATACGTATTTGTAGTTGAATTTCTATTTTGAAAACATCTACACGTCAGCTGTGTCAGTTCGTGCATTGAATATTTTTCATCATCAAAACAGTTTAGTAAAGAATAACTCATTAGTAACCCAACGGCTTCATCTATTACATATTCTTCGTTTATTTCCATTTGTTTTGAAATTTGGATTATAAACTGTTTACTTATGTTTTGACCGTCGCAATGAGATAAACAGTTTAATAGTTTAAATGGAAAAGGTTTACTTATTTCTAATTTCATTAAAACTAAGTTAATTACTTTAATTGCAGACTTTGGTTCTTCTTCGGTTTGAAAGTTATTGTCTATTATTTCTGATGGTTTTGATCTATATCGTTCTACGTATTTTTCTATCGAAATTCTCTGTATATTTATATATTTTATTGCCTGAGTAATAGCGAACGGATGATAACCAAGTTCTTTTATTAAGTTTCTTATGTTTTCATCGGCGTTTTTTTTAATATTATTTTTGACATAAGCAAATGCTTCTTCTGAAGTAAAAACATCAACTAGCAGTTTATTTACATTATTCGACCACGTTCTCCATTGGGAAGTTATCAACGTAAATGAATCCGGTTTTCTTGAAATGTACATGGTTAGGTTTTTAATACTTTCATCGTCAACATTGTCAAAAATATACAAAGTCTTTTCATTTTTATAATGGTTGTGAAGTTTTTCAACAATCACTTCTATATTCAAATAATCACCTTTCGAGTCATGAACTTCAAATCCTATTATTTGACATTGATTTCTCATGGAGGTTTGTAACTTTCCAAATGCTGCGTCTATCCAAACAATGTTTTTGTATAAGCTATAATAAGTTTTACAATAATTTCTTGCAATTTGAGTCTTTCCAACACCCGACATTCCATATAACACTAAAGGTGACTTGTTTACATCATTTAAAAAATGTTGAATTTCACGAAGTAGTTCTTTACGCGAAAATAAATTTTCTGAAAAATGTTGCATACCTAAAGATGAACGCACGGTTAGTTAGATTATAAAAAATAATTCTCTCAATTAAAATAAATGTAATATCATTTATTTAGTAAAAAGCTTCAATTTTTTACTAAATCTTTTTTTACAAAAGAGTCAAATTAGAAAAAGTTAAGTTAAAAAACATAAGTTTAAAAAAACTCCTTATTAAAAAAAAAAAAAAAATTATACTATCTTTTAAAAAGTTTTTGAATTCTAATGTTATTCTCCAACAATTTTATATATCAAAAAAAAAGATTTTGCAAACAAAACTTAATGTACTTTATAAACATAAGAATTTGAAAAACTTCAAGTAATTATTGTTACTCTAGAGGATACAAGTAAAAAATTAACTTTTCTACAAACTACGTCATTTTTTATTGACACTTAATAAAAATTAAACTAGTCTTTTGTATCTAAGCATAAAAAAAAGATTTATAAATTTATAAATACATATTTATATTTATAATTATATGAACTAAAACTAAATAAAGTAGTAATAGATTTAATTATTAGGTTAAAAAAAAATCTAATCGGTTATGAGATAAAAATCCAAGATCAGCTCAGGCTATAAGATGAAAATCGAAGATCTGCTCTGGTTATGAGATGAAAATATTATATATAAAACAACTTATGAATACAAGTACCCTCTCCTTTGTTGGCCTTTTTTATGGTAATTATGGAATTAAACATAAAGGAGTTTAGTACGTGAATAAGTTTAGGAGTTAAATTTTTTTCATCTTTCGCTAGTTATGAGAAAACAAGTGCGGTTATATCACATTCTACCAAGTTAAGATAACTTATAATAGTTTTTTTTTTTCATCATAGGGGGAGACCAATTTAATTTTTTATGAAACGCATGTCTCGTTATCTCTTTGGTCCCAAAATAGAATTGTTGAAGAAGGGTTGTTTTAAATCTTTTAATATTTCTTTGAAACTACAATTAGAATATTAAAAAAATGGCTTTTTTGATTCTTGACTTTCTCGATTCACCTACAGTTCTTCGTTTTTTCGATGAAAGTATTAGGTCATAAATATTTTAAGCCATTTTTTTCTACATATTTTTCACCTCAAGATTCTACATATTTTTCACCTCAAGATTCTACATATTTTTCACCTCAAGTTTCTACATATTTTTCACCTCAAGATTCTACATATTTTTCACCTCAAGATTCTACATATTTTTCACCTCAAGATTCTACATATTTTTCACCTCAAGATTCTACATATTTTTCACCTCAAGTTTCTACATATTTTTCACCTCAAGTTTCTACATATTTTTCACCTCAAGATTCTACATATTTTTCACCTCAAGATTCTACATATTTTTCACCTCAAGATTCTACATATTTTTCACCTCAAGTTTCTACATATTTTTCACCTCAAGATTCTACATATTTTTCACCTCAAGTTTCTACATATTTTTCACCTCAAGATTCTACATATTTTTCACCTCAAGATTCTACATATTTTTCACCTCAAGGTTCTACATATTTTTCACCTCAAGTTTCTACATATTTTTCACCTTAAGATTCTACATATTTTTCACCTCAAGATTCTACATATTTTTCACCTCAAGATTCTACATATTTTTCACCTCAAGATTCTACATATTTTTCACCTCAAGATTCTACATATTTTTCACCTCAAGATTCTACATATTTTTCACCTCAAGATTCTACATATTTTTCACCTCAAGTTTCTACATATTTTTCACCTCAAGATTCTACATATTTTTCACCTCAAGATTCTACATATTTTTCACCTCAAGATTCTACATATTTTTCACCTCAAGGTTCTACATATTTTTCACCTCAAGATTCTACATATTTTTCACCTCAAGTTTCTACATATTTTTCACCTCAAGATTCTACATATTTTTCACCTCAAGATTCTACATATTTTTCACCTCAAGTTTCTACATATTTTTCACCTCAAGATTCTACATATTTTTCACCTCAAGATTCTACATATTTTTCACCTCAAGATTCTACATATTTTTCACCTCAAGATTCTACATATTTTTCACCTCAAGATTCTACATATTTTTCACCTCAAGATTCTACATATTTTTCACCTCAAGATTCTACATATTTTTCACCTCAAGATTCTACATATTTTTCACCTCAAGATTCTACATATTTTTCACCTCAAGATTCTACATATTTTTCACCTCAAGGTTCTACATATTTTTCACCTCAAGATTCTACATATTTTTCACCTCAAGATTCTACATATTTTTCACCTCAAGATTCTACATATTTTTCACCTCAAGTTTCTACATATTTTTCACCTCAAGATTCTACATATTTTTCACCTCAAGATTCTACATATTTTTCACCTCAAGATTCTACATATTTTTCACCTCAAGATTCTACATATTTTTCACCTCAAGTTTCTACATATTTTTCACCTCAAACATGTACCCAGCAAACATTCTTCGTTTTTTCGATGAAAATATTAGGTCATAAATATTTTAAGCCATTTTTTTCTACATATTTTTCACCTCAAAACTCAGACGTAGAATAATTAACCTGATTTAAACCTCATCTGAACGTTGATGAAAAAATTTTGTCGTTAATTTTATCACTAGTACTACACATGTTCTCTACATTAAAATTAGGTACTTATATTCGCATTAATTCTTTGACGTTGTTTCAACATATTTTGAACATTTTTTTATTGCTATTATACAACCCAATTAATTTGTTATTAATTTGGTTTTTGGATATACTTTTTATGCAAAATAGTATAATAACTTAAAAAAAGAAATTGTTTATAGTCCATCCGGGGATGGTTTAAAATTGAAACTAAGCTATGTTGAGTATGCTAAGTCAGCTATGATGAATATGTTACGTCAGCTGTGTTGTTATGTTACTGGATTAGGGAAAGGCCTATGATAGCATACTTAAATTTGAAGTTTTATTATTCAGTATCCTGAAGACCAAAAACAAAACTTTTAATATGGATACATTTTTTGTTATACGTAGAACAATAACAACCCTGGAAGTTTCCGGCAGTTTTTGTTTTTTCATTAGTTATTTTTATTTAAAAAAAAAAAAAAAGTACAAGTAAGCCATCATAGGTAATTACTGCTCCTATGATGGCATAGGGAAGAAATGGGCTGGTTAGTATCAAGGGTAACTTAACGATTTCATTTAAATTTAGAGTCTTCTTTCAGGAATACCAGGAATTACGCTTAATCATCCTAATTAAACCTTTCGTGCTACACAGCTGCAGTGCAGATTTTCGCGCATGCGCAGGAAAGATATTGCGTTTATGTATTTTTTGAACCCAAAATTTTTTAGTGAAGTAAAAATTCCTTTTTACTTTACTAACAAATAAAAAAAAAAAGGTTTTCTCAACTCGTCAATATTGCTACACACCTTACTCGTCAGTTTGACATCATTGGAAGAAGTCATCATTTTCATTTAAACAACCTATGTCTGCATTTTTCAAAAAATAAAATTAAAATAAGTATTCCACTAAATGCACCAAACTTAGAGATAAAACGCATGAAAATTTAATTTCTGCACAGTTAAAGTACAACAGCACATTCCAAAATCAATTTTTGTTGATTATAAAAGCAATATTTGTGCATAAAGGACGTATTTTTACTAAAACTAATGTAAAGTCAGTTTAGACATGTTGGTCTAATCACTTTTTTGCCGTAACCAATATTTATGAAAATATGACCGGTATGCCATCATAGGCGTTATGAAAGTAAAACACTTCACTTAATAAGGAAAGAAAACCAATTTTTCTTCGCTTTATCTCACAAGTTATTGTCTCGGTTTGTAAACAATTTTTTAATGAATACAATGAATGCAATTAATCAATTATTATATGAAAACGGTCACTTTTTAATTAAGAAAATGTCTGTCAAATAATATATTTGCTAAAGTTTTTACCGATTTCAAATTCAGTCCATGAAAAGGCGTTTAATTTTAACTAATGCCAGTAATGCAACCAGCTAGGTTGAGAAAACTTTTTATTTTTAAGTCAAACGTCAGTCTTTAAAATAAATAAATTATTATAAATTTTTCTTTTTTTATGCTTAGGTACAAAAGACTAGTTCAATTTTTATTTAGGCTTGGTAAAAAAGGACGTTGTTAACAAAAAATATAGCAGTTATAATATGTAGTTAACATAAAATATAATTGCCAATTCATAAAACTTTCAATTTATTTTTAAACTAGATTTTTCAACTTTGGACGTTACATGTTATTACAAGTTACCCGTTGTTACAAGTTACCCGTTGTTACAAGTTAAACGTTGACATATTTTAAAAACCTATACTGGCTCAGAAGAGGCAGAGATTTGTTAAAATGAAAGCAAATGTTAAAAATTGTAATGAAAAATAAAAGAAAAACAGAATAACTACACAATAATTATACCCTTTAGCCACTTTCTTAATCCAGCCCTGACCTATGCACACAGTAACAATGTGCTTTACTAGGGCCCTTTATATATATATATATATATATATATATATATATATATATATATATATATATATATATATATATATATATATATATATATATATATATATATATATATATATATATATATATATATACATTTGATTGCTCATCTTAAAATGAGGAACAACGATAAAATATCCAATTGGTAATTGGACAACATTCCAAATAAGTATTTATAAATATTTCTCACAAAGTATTAGGCCATCTTTAATAAATATAGATAAAAATACTAAGAAAATGTATTTATGCAGTTGTTTTTATTTTATATGCCACTGTTTTTAAAGTTATAACGCAAAAAACTGGTAAACATATGTTATTGGCATAAAACCCAAATTTTGCATATGGCTCTTCCTAATAGAATATTGAGCTAAAAAGTTAAAAGAACAGCTTTTCTTATGGAAGTATCTTAAATTTCAAAAAAAGTTAAAAAATTCTGAATATAATAAAGTCACTTTATTATATATATATATATATATATATATATATATATATATATATATATATATATATATATATATATATATATATATATATATATATGTATATATATATATATATATATATATATATATACATATATATATATATATATATATATATATATATATATATATATATATATATATATATATATATATATATATATATATATATATATATATATATATATATATATATATATATATATATATATATATTATATATAATATATATATATATATAATCCTAATTTAAATCCATCAAAAATGTATGGGGCATCTTAGCAAGATGTGTTTATGCAGAATGGAAGCAATATTCGAATGTCGATGAATTGAAAAAGGCAGTTGCACATGTTTGGAAAAACATATCTCTTGCAGATCTTAGAAAACATTTGAAAAGTATGTCTAATCGAATATTTAAAGTTATTCATAGTGGCGGCAATAAAACAAATTATTAACAATAAATTCAAATTGCAATACATTACGTTATGGAATTTTGTAGAGTAAAATTGAAATGAGTTAACAATTTTGCACCATCATTTTTCTAAAATTTTCAAGTCAATTAACAAAATGAAACCAGACTTTAATAAAAATGAAATATTATTCAAGTAAGATATTAGGCAGTTATCAGTAAATCTTTAAAAAAAGAGACAAGATAGGTTTTGGTAAATTTATTTCTTAACAAGTTTCTAATCATTTTAAAAACGAAAAATTTAAAATTTTAGACAAACTTTCTGAACATAGTTTAAAATAAGATAATATAAATTTATAAAGATAAAATAAGCATGTTTTTTGGTTTCAGATCAAAGCAGTGCCCAGCCGCTATCAAAGATTCTAAAGTTGACGACTAAAGCTCTTATAAATGTACAATTGTACATTTATAAGAGCTTTAGTGGTCAATTTTAGTGGTCAATGATAGTCCCGTATTTACTTGTACAAGTAAATACGGGACTATCAAAAAACAGATTAAAGAAACTGGTTTTCTGAAGCTTTGTTTAAATATTGTTGGTACTGCGTTAGTTGTTGATACCAGTCTTACCGCCTCAAAAACAATCTCTCACTCAAAGGATTAGCTAAAACACTGGAGACAAATTCGTGTTGCAGTATCAAAAAATTTGCCAGAAACTCACTCCAACATTGAACAAATCTGGTCACTGATTTATTCAAATAGAGTCAAACAAATTTTGCCTTGTGATTTGAAAATTATAAATTTTCTTTTTTGGCCATCTAACCCATTCAAGTTCACACCCATTCAAGTGTGACGTCAAATCCAAGTGTCTTGTCTAATCTGAAAATTTGCGAACACCTCTCAGGGCTCAATCGACTTTACCCTCGAGTCTTTTCAGCAATCTGGCAGAGTTATTGCTCTAGCAAATTCGATAGGGACTGTGATTCTAAAGCCAATCATCCATTGGTCTGACAATGTTCTGATTTTGGAAATAATTCCCCCAACGGAATTGTATTTCGTTTTAAAAGTTGTCAATAATCTTTTCAAGATACTTCAAAATGGCAAGCTGTCCTCCACATTTAACTGAGCCCGTATCATGGTGGCCAGTTTGAGGATAATGAATGCAGGATACTTTAAAAAAATATAGATGTGTCACAAAAAAAGATTGTTATGCTGCATAACTGATCTGAAAAGTGAGCATAATTTAAGAACTGCTACCATAACTCGATTTATTATGAAACTGTAGAAAATCATAGCTTACGCTTTATAATGAACGTTTTACTATTTTAATAAATTTTATCAGATGTTATTCAATGGTAATATATTTTAAAAAATAGGATATATATAGTTATTGTTTTATTTTATTTTGAAACTGTTTAAAACTTGTTTTACTAACTGATAGTCCTTTTGCTAGGTTTGTACTTTTTAAGCACTTTATTTTGCATTTTGAAAGTAGTTTATACTTTAGGAAATATTGAGATATTTACGTTATGCATTAGCCTATACAAACCACACTTCAAATAGCAAATCAACATTTTTTTCTTTAGAATGAAAAAGGTAGATGTAACAATAAAATAATTATAATAAAAACTGTTGATGTTATTTTGTTGTGTTTTTGTTGACGCATTATATAGTCAAAAAATTTAACTAAATTTGAATATTCAAATTAAATTATTTTCTGCGGACAAAATTAAAAGATTTCAAAATAAGCATAACATCGTGCCTTGCTGTGTACACTCATTGAATATAAAAGGATGTTTTATGACAGCTAGGTTGGCATTAAATTAGTTAAAATTAAAAGTTAAAGCTTACTAGTTATAACTTACTAGTTTGTTTTCTTTTTTTTTTTTTTTTTCTTTTTTTTTTTTTTGTCTTCTTTCTTAGTTTTAATTACACTTAATACTTACAAATTATTTTAAATTTTTTTTTTATTTCAAACTCTTTTTGCACAATGACTACTCAAGAGCAAAATTCCCTAAATAAAAACTTTTCTTTTTTTATATATTTAACTAAGATGTCTATATACCATGCTGCCACATTTATATAAATCCTGCAGTTTTTAGAAAACACCAAGTAACGAAGTTGGAGTAAAAGAAAACCCAGAATCTTTTAGAAAAGTAGCTGGGTCTAGTTTTGTATTTATTCAGATCCGGGACTTTTAGGACCTTATATGACGTAAATACAACTATAAAGTTCTTTACAATTAATTTTTGATATTTTTAAATTTAGTAGGTTTAAAAAAACATTTTATTGTATTTTTATATGTTTTTGTACAAATTCTTAGTTTTAATTTTATTAAGTTTCCGAAATTAATAATTTTTTGCATGTATATAAAGTAAGGGTGCATCGATGCATCGGCATCAGCCTGTCGATGTATCTAACATTTATTTGATGGATCGGCTTCAGTCATGGTAACCATCGGGCGATACCAATTGTTTAGAAAAATCGTTTCATTAACTTTTGTGTTTCCATATTGTTGACAAAAGTATAAATATTACATAAATAAAAATGTATTTATAAGCCAAAGTTATTTTATAGACATGCCTGCAACCACTAAACCTTTAAATACTTTTTGAACTGTTTTTCATTAGAAGCTCCCTAATAAAAAAAAGTTCTGCATTAATTATCTTTTTATAATTTAGGAAAGCAAATATGGAAGGTTTAAAAACTTCCAAACTATGGAAGGTTTAAAATCAAGAATTATAATTGTAATGTAAAATGTAAAAAAAAGTCTGTGCCAGATGTTCCTCTTATATTTTTATTTTACAAAATTTACAAGTTGCATCAAATATTTTCATTTATATCAAAATAATGTATAAACTTTTAGTTGTAGACTTAGTTGTAGATTTAATAAGAGACTTTTAGTTGCTTTGCTGATTGTTGATGTTGCTGATTGTTGATTTTTATTTAATTATATATATATATATATATATATATATATATATATATATATATATATATATATATATATATATATATATATATATATATATATATATATATACATGTATATATATATATATATATATATATAATAAAACAATCTGCAAAGTTAATCAGGCGGTTTACAAGCTTCTGACGGCGGCATAATAACTTTACGTCATGTAGCGCTTTGTAACTTTTTTTAGTGCTTCCCTGGATAATTTATACAGCTGTGATTAAATAAAAAACAACGTTGAATTTTTTCATTTAAATTTAATACTACTTTTTAGATATTTTTGAGCAAATAATGTCAATGTGTGGTTTCCATGTATTGTTGTCGTTCAGAACCACTTCTAAATATTTTGTAACAAATTTTTTTTTTTTTTTTAATTTCATTAATAACAATTTTGATCAAATTTTGGGGTATATAACGTTTTTAGGAACGCAAATGGAAAGGAATCCATTAGGTTTTATTAATTTTAAGAGTTAATTAATAAATTGAAATCTAAATCAGGCATCGATATTTTCAAAATATTTTTGCGTTTTATTTAAAACATAAACAGCTTTTATAAAAAAGTAATTTTAAATTTTTTCTTCTTCTTCTTCTTTTGTTTATAGCAAAAATTTATTGAGGTTTAAACGTACTTATAAATACTAAAGTTAATTTTTCATTATGTGATAACATATTTTTTACAGTTTTTTTTTGTAATCGTTTGTTTACATTTTAACAATATTACTATTTATCACTTTTACAGTGACTTTAATTTCAAAAAAAGTCCTTTATAAAACTCGGTGCGGTCTACTATCCCGCATTTCCCATGTGTCGCCACTACTACTACTACTACTACTACTACTACTACTACTACTACTACTACTACTACTACTACTACTACTACTACTACTACTACTACTACTACTACTACTACTACTACTACTACTACTACTACTAATACTACTACTACTATCGCTAAGTATCATTAAAAATAGAATTTAAAAAATGGGCGTAAATAATAAAAAGTTACCTTTAAAAGAACTAGTTTTATGGCAATCTTCTTGCTTAGGTTCCATTTAATTATAAACAGCAATTGTTCTAAAAATTAACATAATGTATTAACATTATAAAATTAGTTCCAAATATAAATAAAAAGTTAAAAAAAACTATATCAAATCTAAAAATTACATTATATTAAACCACACGAAATGAATGATCGTTGAAGTAAACGTCATCAACTTGAAATAACTATATGAAGTATTTAATATCTGAAAACAAAACTTTGTTTATTTAAATGTTTTTATTTGTTTTAAATACAATGTATGTTTGATTTTCATAAAACAATAATGAACATTTTTACTATTAAAGGTAAAAAACTCATCATACGAAATGTGACACATCAAATAATCAGACAAATAATCACGTGAAAATGATTTACTATACTAAGGTTTAGAGTCTGTTATTGACTCTATGTAAAAGTATATGATAAAAATATGCATGTTTTAAATAACCCAACGAGTGATTGCAATATATGCCTTGGTTTATGAAGACAAAAAAAGAGAATCAGTCAGTGAGAAAAAAAAAGCGAAAAGCTTTATGGTTTTAATTAAGAATCGGCGAATATTCGTTAACATTCAGATTACGAAGCTTACTTGAAGGCAAAGTTGACTTCGGCTTCGATTTTCTATTTCGACTTTGGTGCCGATGTTAAAATAGAAATTCGGGTTTTAGTTAAATTTGGTAACACTTTCAAAATTTTATTTATTCTTTCAGTTAAATTCGAAAGCTATAAGGTTTTTTTCTCAATTTATAAAGTAGAATTATAAAAAAAACTATATGATTTATGTATATTACCTGTTTCTATTGATTACAACCCTCTATTGATTACAACCCCTTTATTGATTACAACCTTCTATTGATTACAACCCTCTTTCAGAGTTGAGAGAGGGTTGTAACCAATAAGTTTGACCCTGAAAAAAAGAATACAAAAAAGCCGAATAGAACTGGAAATGTAATTTGGTTCAACCCCCCATATAGCAAAAATGTTTCCACTAACATAGGAAAAGTGTTTTTAAAATTGGTCAACAAACATTTCCCCCTTAATAATAAATTACATAAAATTTTTAATCGAAATACAATTAAAGTTAGCTACAGTTGCACAAAAAATATAGAAAGAATTATAAAAAGTCACAATAATGATTTGTTAAGTAAAAAAGAAATCCTAAATGAAAAAACTACAGAAAATTGTAATTGTAAACAAAAAAACAATTGTCCAATGAGTGGAAGTTGTTTATCAAAAAATGTGGTATATAAATGTGTAATATGTATAATATTTTTTCACATTTTATGACCAAGTTGCAAATGCTTAGTGAATGCAAGCACTGAATGTTGCAAATGCTTAGTGAATGCAAGTACTGAATGTTGCAAATGCTTAGTGAATGCAAGTACTGAATGTTGCAAATGCTTAATGAATGCAAGTACTGAATGTTGCAAATGCTTAGTGAATGCAAGCACTGAATGTTGCAAATGCTTAGTGAATGCAAGTACTGAATATTGCAAATGCTTAGTGAATGCAAGTACTGAATGTTGCAAATGCTTAGTGAATGCAAGTACTGAATATTTTACTCTAATGATTTATCATTAAAGTTAATGAAGAGTCATGGAAATGTCATGGAATTTCATTTTTAAATTTAAGTGGCCGCATATCATAGATATGCGGCCATTCAAATTTGAATAATAGACTCGCACCTGCGAATTATGTGATTTACAACTTCAGTAAGCAAAGTATTGGTCAGTAAAAAGATTGTCAAACTTTAATCAAAAAATTTTCATAAAAAAGTCCATAAAATAGAGAATAAAATTTTTCTGCATCATCATTGTATTTTGAAATAAAATCTTGAAATTTTTCGAAAAAAGAAATTGAATTTTTAGAACTGAAAGAAGAATTCTGCTGTAAAAATTTGATTCGAATCTCTTCAGACAAGCATAAACCATTTGATAACTTACAAGCACATTCTTCAACAATTTTCTCAAGATCGAGATAATTGTATGGAGTCATTTTCTTCACTAATTGAGTTGATTTGTTCGTGTTTAAAAGTTTTTTTCTTTTAAGGCCATATTTTGTTTTATAAACTTTATAACTCATGTCGCACAAAAAAATGGATTTAAAACAAACTTAAGATAATAAATTATCTAGATCTTGTTCAATTTCAATGCTATTGTCAAAAATTCAATTAGTTAAAGCCATATACAAATCATCAAGCTGTGTTTCTACATGAAGTTCAATGCTCATTTTAAAAACTTGTGCAGGGTAAACGGGCTGAAATTCAAAATTCAAGTTAAAAAGGCAAAACAATAGAAACGACCCGTGCTTCCAGGCTATATATTTCTTATGACTATGTTTTTATTCACCCAGCCTAATATCTCGTTTGCGGAAGCGAGCGCAATATTCTAAAAAGACGGAAATAAAGTTTTCAACGTTTGTTTGTTAGTTTATTTTGCCGTTTAATAACTTTTACAATTTAAAAGTTTATAAAACAGTTAAAACACTTGCGGGGCAAGTAGAAGACTTTATTTCGTATTTATAATAACCGTATTTATACGGTATTTATACTTTACAAAATATTTATTGAAAATTATAAATGTAAAAAAAAAATTAACAATTAGTTTAAGAAATACTTCAGAAACAATAATCATGTCAAGAGTAATTATTAAGTAAACAAAAAAAATCGAAAGAAAAGTAAAAAATAAAAATAAAAAGTAAATAAATTAATTAAATAGTACGCATTTACAAGAGCCATACAATACACTTATATTATACAAAATATTTATTGAAAAATATGAAAATAAAATATATAACAACTTGTAATAAAGTAATATTTAAATAAAGAACGAAAAAAATAAAAATAAAAGCGTAATTTACAAAAACCATAATGTTTATGTATATTTTAAAACCAATTTTTATAAAAGTAAAATAAATAACAATTCATTAATAGTTAAAAAAAAAAAAAAAAAAAAATATTCAAGAATTCAAATTAGATTTCAATAATTAATTATAAGATTAGAGGAAACACCATAATTGAATTATTGGGGAAAAAAATTGATAAATTCTGAGACATATTTTATATAACTGAATTTTAGTTTAAAAGAATCCATAAGTAATAACATCTGTTTCAATTCATTCTTAAACTGTTGTTTATTAAATTTTTTCGTATTCGCAATATTAGAAAACTTTTTCCGTAAATAAGATCCACGATGTTGAAATGAGCAATTTGTATTGAATTATATTTAGGGACAATGTAGTCATTATCTTTCCAAATAAATAGGAAAATTTTAAGATTTTCCTTTAAACAAAAGAATAACACTAAGAAGCCTATCAAATACAGAGAAAGTGCCAACAACAACTTTACATATAATTTTAAAGAATAAAGGGAAGGATAGTCTTTAGGATACGATAGATAAAGGATAGATGTTGAGGAATAAGAATAAAGGATAGGATACTCTTTAGGATAGGTTAGTGTTTTATGTTAGTGTTTAAAGAATAAAGGATAGGATAGTGTTTAGTATATGTTAGAACCAAGCTTAAATGACAAAAATAAAATTGGAAGAGCTCATTTTTTTTAAACCCGTTCAAACAAATGGGTTATTTCCTAAAATGAAGGATGCTGTTCATACAGATGAATGGTTTTATAACATAGCAACATCAAAAGCAAGTTTCTTAGATGAATGAATATAATAGTATAATAATATAAGTTATATTTTAACATATTAACACATTAAAACATTCAGATTTTTACCAATTAAGCCATAAAACTTGGTTACTTAACTGCATTTTTTAGTACAGACTGAACTAAACGAAAAAACATTCCAGTCTACACAATACTTAATTTTGTTAGCCGCGCAAATAATTTGCGTTGGAATTTTTGGCCAAAAATTAACGCCGAGCATCTAGGCTACCACTGCCCCACGGCTGTTCATTATATTCTTTATTATATTCATATTATATTAATAATATTAATTTAATATATGGTTTCAAAAAAAAGGTCGAAAGTAAAAGTTAATTCTAGAAGGCGAGGGGCAGATGATTCATCAAGTCTTTACTATATTTTGAGTTATTTGATACTTAGACATTCTTCCTGATGAATCTGCTCTAGAGAAAACAGACTGTAGAAGAATTTTAGATGATTGTTTTTACTAATTTTACGCCAAGACCCAATAATTTCAATTTTAAGTTAATTCCAGCTCAACATTCTAATTACAGTATGTTATTGCTCTGTTTTTAGAAGCAAGAGATCCAGGGTTCGAAGCGAGCTCTGGAAATTTTTTCACGCCACTGGTAAGAAAAGAGAAACAAACTTCCTCTGTTAAAAGACCGTCAGGTCTTCTATGGGCACCAAAAAAAAAGTATATATTTATAAAAATATGTAAATAAATAGACTCTGTTGAGTCTATTTATTTACATACTTTTATAAATATATACTTTTTTTTTTAGCCACCGATCACACTCCGTAACACTTAATATCAGCCTCGAGTAGTGCTAAACAATATTCGTTGAAAATAAATTTCTGTAGTTAGGGTTATTAAAATCCTGACAACATCTGACCCTGAGAAGGCAAATGTTCGGAAGATATTTTTAATAAATCAAGAAAGATAAATACGATTTAACTACACGTAATATTTACAAGTGTAATATTTACAAGTCTCGTGAGTCAAAATATATATTGAAATTTATAATTAAAAATGTGTCGGACTTCAAAAAGATTGTAACGATCATATCACGAAGCCCTAACAATATGATTGGTAACACTTTGCATTTTTGCTTAACTTAATACTGCTCATTCGTGCGCTCTGTTATCTTTTATAAAATAAAAACCAGGTCGTTTGATTGTTTGTTTTTTTAATGTTGTTAAACAAATATTACAAAAAAAAAAGGTTGCATTTGTATAGTTTATTATTTATATGTTGTTCTTAATTTATATATTTATTTAAACTTGTGTGTTATTTATTATTTGTTTATATGTGTTGAGGTTATATGGGTTTATATTTTGTAAGTGTGTCTGTAAGTAATATTTTTTATATATGAAGTGTTTCTATCTTTGTGATGTGTTATAATGTTAAGTGTTAAGTTGTTGTGACTTAACTTAGTTTACAGCAAGAGTGTTGACCTTGCTTGCCAAGTGGTGTACTTTTCTATAATGTGGCTTAGCTTTGTTGAGGGCAAGAATGTTATTTGTTCCAGAAAGTGATGTACTGTCATGATGAAACACATAA